AGTTGAAATAGCTTATCAGGCCGAGGTAACAAGTGGCCACCTTGCAGGTTTATCAATTCGAAAAATAAAGAATTAAGCAATATTTAACTATATATACTTATCACAAGAGCACCGCTAGGAGGGGCATTATATGCCCGAACGTGTTTTTTTAGTAAGGATGAAGCATTTGTAAGACATGGGAATTAGCTGTTCATCCTATTAAATTAAACAGCTGTAGGTTGATTAATACTTAAGTTATTGTGCGGACACTGTTTTCAGTTTTAAGGTTATAGTGACCTTGACCTTTGACCTTGTGACCCCAATAGGGGTCTTCTAACCAATTAAGAAGTTTGAATATTGTGGGCCAAATGAACCTTTTGTTATGCTCCGGAAACTGTTTTCAGTTTAAAGGTAATATTGACCTTGACCTTTGACCTTGTGACCCAAAAATCAATAGGGGGCTTCTAACCAATATGCACAATAATCTTATGAATTTTGAATATTGTGGGCTAAATGGAACTTAAGTTATGCTCTAGAAACTATTTTCAGTATTAAGGTAAAAGTGACTTTGACCTTGACCTTGTGACCCCAAAATCAACAAGGGTCTTCTACCCAATATGGACAATCATCCTATGAAGTTTGAACATTGTGGGCCAAACGGAACTTACGTTATGCTCCGGAAACTGTTTTCAGCATTAAGGTAACAGTGACCTTGACCTTTGACCTTGTGACCCCAAAGTCAATAGGGATCTTTTTTACAATCATTTTATGAAGTTTGAACATTGTGGGTCAAATGGAACTTAAGTTTTGTTCCGGAAACTGTTTTCAGTTTTAAGGTAATACTGACCTTGACCTTTGACCTTTTGATCCCAATTCAACAGAGGTCTTCTACCCAATATGGACAATCATCCTATGAAGTGTGAATATTGTAGGCCAAATGGAACTTAAGTTATGCTCCGGAAACCAAATTGCTAACGGACGGACGGTCAGACGGACGGACGGACAGACAGACAGACGGACGTCAGAGGTTATAACATAATATGCCCTTTCGGGCATATATAAAAAAGATTTACCATGTGGGCAATCTCGTGGGACACTAGCCTTGCTGCAAACTGTACATACGAAGGGGAATCTTTGTCCAAATCTACCAGCATCAGATCGTCGGCATAAATTATAAGTCCCCAATTCTCCATTCCACCCGCAAGGTAATTTGATATCGCAATATTGTCTACAGTTTTGTTATAATTTATTATTGTACCATATAACATTATCTTAAATAATTATATATAATTCACGGTGTATTCATATTGTACGCTTGTCTTGCTTATAATTATTTTAAAGCAACTTAAAAGCGTCAATATTCATGTTACAAGTTTATCGCAATATTAGACAGTCCATAAACTATAGATATATGTGGATTTTTAACGTTAGAACTGCTTAGTATGTAGTATAAACAAGTACAGCCTGAATAATTTAATTTGTGTTTTTGTTTCTCAATATTTTGTCAGTTTATGGTGGTCGAACTTACATCTATACACCGTTAACATTTTTTCTAAATGCAAGCAAAATATTTGGTACAATCTTTACCTTGCTTCGGAAGTGGGTAAGATATTCCGAAGTAATCTACAAAATGTTCTTGCAATTTTACACCTAGATCTAAAGCGAACGTTGTTTTATTGATAACACTAGGTTTTGACCATGTGCGAAACTGAAAAAGATAAGAAAAGTAGTAAATTGAAATACATAAACATTTTTTGCAAGATGCATAAGCAAGTAATGATCAAGCACTGATAATTATTAGTAAAGACTGACCGCTCAAAGAATTTCTGATGATACAAAAGGATAACTGCGGATTATTCAGTACTTTTCACCTAAAACGGCTGTATAATTAAATTAAACTACATACAATGTTGCAGGTATTTCAATGTTTTTAGACTGCAAAAAAAAAGAGAAAGTGCACCATTTAATTCATACATTTCATAACATTTTAACTACCGAAAAAGCCACGAGTTATAAATAATAATTTAAGTAAATTTAATTTCTGTTATCTATATTTTTCAGTTCAGTTTTATTTTATTTGTGTGTGCGTGCGTGAAGGCGTGTGTGTGTGTGTGTGCGTGCGTGCGTGTGTGCGTGCGTGTGTGTGTGAAAAGATTGAGAATTGTCTTACTGTGACATTATTTGCTGTCGTCTTTTCCAGATGCCCAAAGTTACCAACAACGAAAGCTAGAAGGTACACAGACATCTTTGGAGTTCTTCCAAATGTATCTGCTATCCAATCATTGCCTCTAAAATATTCAACAAACGCTTTTGTCATAAAAAGTTAAGTACAACAATAAATCAGCAATATCAGTCGATCTACATGTTTTCATCTCAAGTTCAATACGAACATCTTGTTACTGGTATCGGCAAATTCCAAGCAAATATGAGATATGACTTGGTCTGTCAGTGCTTCTGAGGGAGAGATCATCCCTTTTATAAATTTTGGTATTTCAATAACATGTTCTTTCTATCTAAGTATATTTCCCATAAACAATGCTTAAATTATAATTATTTAAATTGCAAGGTCAGACTGGTATTTTCAAACAAACAAAGAAAAAAAAACAGCATAGGATGAATACTTTACATTATAGGCATTTATAATTATTATTCTAAATACAATGTGAAATATAACAAAATTGTTCGATTTTCAATAAGAGCACAGACTAATTAAAAGAAAAGGAGAGAGTACGCTTCCAGTATAGTATTTTGGGTATTTTATCGTTCACTTAGACTAAATAAATATATATACTGTTAAAGCCAAATCGATGTTTTTATTCAAGGTCCATAACTCAGCCAAAATATTCAACCAGAAAAGCCCTGTAATTTGCGCAACTACTTAAGGTCACGCTCAATTCTAAAAAAAAACATCATTTAAATAAATAAGTGGCATATGAGGAGTAGACGGGGCAACTATAACTAGAACTGCCACTCTCATGGCTGGATCATGGCTTGAATACCCCCGCATACCACTTTTTAGACAGTGACAAGTTAGAACTCAAGGACAACCACCCTGCCAAATCTGAGGTTACTAAGCCAGTGCATTGCTAAGATATGTATTCTCCATGCTTCAAATGTGAACATTTTAAAACAAGTTTTTTTTTGTCAAGGCCCCTGTGACCTTGAACTTTGACCCAGTGACCTCAAAAACAATAGGGGTCATCTACTAATAATGACTAACCTCCATGCAAAATATGAAGACTTTGGGGCAAAGGAATCTCAAGTTATTGGGCGGACAAGCTTTTTTTAGTCAAGGCCCCTGTGACCTTGACCTTTGATCCAGTGACCTCAAAATCAATAGGAGTCATCTACTAATCATGACTAACCTCCATGCCAAATATGAAGACTGTGGGTCAAAGGAATCTCAAGTTATTGGTCGGACAAGGTTTTTAAGTCAAGGTCCCTGTGACCTTGACCTTTGTCCCAGTGCCCTCAAAATAAATAGGGGTCATCTACTAATTATGACTAACCTCAATGCCAAATATGAAGACTGTGGACCAAAGGAATCTCAAGTTATTGGGAAGACAAGCTTTTTAAAGTCAAGGCCCCTGTGACCTTGATCTTTGACCCCAAAATCAATAGGGGTCATATACTAATCATGACTAACCTCCATGCCAAATATGAAGACTGTGGGTCAAAGGAATCTCAAGTTATTGGGCGAACAAGGTTTTTTAAGTCAAGGCCCCTGTGACCTTAACCTTTGACCCAGTGATCCCAAAATCAATAGGGGTCATCTACTTATCATGACTAACCTCCATGCCAAATATGAAGACTGTGGGCCAAAGGAATCTAAAGTTATCGGGCGGACAAGCTTTTTAAAGTCAAGGCCCCTGTGACCTTGACCTTTGGCCCAGTGACCCCAAAATCAATAGGGGTCATCAAATAATCATAACTAACCTTCATGCCAAAAAAGATATGAAGACTGTGGGCCAAAGGAATCTCAAGTTATTGGGCGGACAAGGAAAAACCGACGGACGGACGGGGAGACGTCCGGACGGCGACACAAAAATGTCATAAGAGACATGAAAAATGTAAGCTTGGTCATTACCTATTTGTCGAATTAGAAAGTGGCATATTGGATAACGATAACACTGATTTCTTCCTCACAAGAGTAACGTCGTATTGGGATTTAATCGCTGGTTCATCGAAGCATGGAAACGCTTTTCTTGCAGATATCGGTTGAAACTGGGTTGCGGCAAAATACCTGTAATCAAACAATATTACAAACTTTAAGAATTACTCGATAAGTTGAAACCTGCAGAACAATTTCCCCTGATCATTTCAATTATACAGAAGCAAAATACTCTTAAATTCGAATCTCTTTAACGTTTAAAAAATAAGTTTGCATCAGAACCACGTGCAAATGAACAACAGTTTTTTTCATTAAGAATTATATCGTAAATAGAGTTATATTAGCTGATAAAATCATTAGATTGTATACTTACTCTTTTTTACCCCCTTCCACATCAGAAGCGTAAAAGAATCCATCAAATATGGTACTCCCTAAAAAGCCATCAAATTTGTTTATGCTGAGCACGTACTTTTTACCCGCCTTAAGATATTGGTTTGTCAAGATGTATAAAAACTGTAGCTCTTTCTCAATCACATGTTTCTTGTACAAGTTTTCTGAGCTTCCCTCGAGATTCACAACGATTGGTCCTGAATATAGAGTATATGAGCCGCGTCATGACAAAACCAACATAATGGGTTTGCGACCAGCATGGATCCAGACCAGCCTGGGCATCCGCGCAGTCTGATCAGGATCCATGCTGTTCGCTATCAGTTTCTCTACTTGTTATAGGGTTTGCAAGCGAACAGCATGGATCCTGATCAGACTGCGCGGATGCGCAGGCTGGTCTGGATCCATGCTGGTCGCAAACCCATTATGTTGGTTTTGTCATGACGCGGCTCATATAACATTACACATCAAGTTGGAATGTAATATCATTCTTCTTCAACAATTTATTCAGTTTACATTATACATCCATTAAGCTGCATGCCTCTAAATGAGCTATTTCAAGCAAATCAAATTTGAGAATAATGTACTAAATTTTTATGAAAAGTAAAAAAGATCAAAATTCAAGTAATAATCAAAATGTTATCTGCAATTTATGCCTGATTTTGCAGTATTTTTATCACCATATTTCTACTACGTGACTAACGCAGTAAGGACTTTATTTGCTTATTTTGACGCCTTTATAATAAACATAAAGTATACGTTAGCAATGTGTAAATATTTACGTTTTAAATACATTTTCAAAAATATCTTGAAAACTAGCATGAATCTGAAGGCATGCTGCTTAAAGACAATCAGATACTTTTACAAATTATGAACGTTCGATTGTTGTATACATTATGATTTCAGAAGTGCTGAAATGCATTTATTATAATATAAAGATATTTAAACTGTGAACCATCTATACATATACATCATCCTTAAAAGCTATTTCTTCCTTCGATATGAGCTATATCCAACCAGACACACACTTTTAAATTATGTCAACCAGACACACACTTTTAAATTGAGAGCATTCGAGTAACGTACATCGAAATGTCGAGTTGTTAGTCTTGGTGCGGCAATCATTTCCGACGAAGATTAGACAGAGGCAATTAAACTATTCAAATGAGTACAAATTTATCGAACATACATCTTTTCACACATTCAACTGGAATAAAGTTATATTGATTCGAACTGACACAGATGGAGCCTTGTAGAAGCAACTAAAACTTTAGACGTTTTTACAGCTGGAATGCGAATTGTGTACAGACGAACAATAAAATACACGTAGTGAGTAGGTAGTAGTGTATTTTAACAAAACGCAAATGAGCCGCATGATAAAACCAGCATGGATCCAGACCAGCCTGGGCATCCGCGCAGTCTGATCAGGATCCATGCTGTTCGCTATCAGTTTCTCTACTTGTAATAGGGTTTGTAAGCGAACAGCATGGATCCTGATCAGACTGCGCGGATGCGCAGGCTGGTCTGGATTCATGCTGGTCGCAAACGCATTATGTTGGTTTTGTCATGGCGCGGCTCAAATGTTTCTGTGTCCTAAGACAACATATAAAGCGCTTACCGTCTATAGACAGCCCATATATATTTAGAGTTATAATACTTGTGTCGATCAAACAATTCATTTCTATCGTCACAGAGCCACTCAAAGTAAAATCATCAGGAGTCGTATTATTGTAGATGTCAGGTTGTAATTCGATAGCATAAAGTAATGGGTCAAAGTCCTGTGGAAGGCGAACTACGTAATCCTTTGATTCTGAAAGAAAATTGTTCAATATGGACGTAAACATCATTTTAAGCACTAAAAGGTGTTCCTCTCTTTCTTGGCTTACTTTATGGGAAAGCAACATTCTTTGTGTCTTATGTTAATGTCCCAGCACTCTCCAGACATACACTCCATGACCATACCTATTTCAAGCACGTGTAGATCCATTTATAAAACCCCAATAGGTCATAGCAGGCAACAGATTGTATTCACATATGAATAGATTTGACATTCCTATCACCTAAGTTCTGAGAATAATGACATTTAACATAAAAACTTAAACTTTACTCTATACAATGCATTGCCGTTATCTAAATGTCTTTTAAAAATTGAATTATTAATTAAAAGAAATTGTAAATCGCTTATATGATACAACAGGCCGCTATTACAAGCGTATTGTTTAGATGAGTGAAGATGGCGGCCTTGCGGCGTGACGCTTAGATGCCCAAGCATTTAAAGTTGTTCAGAACTTTTTAAAAACAGTTTTAACAGCTATTTATGAAGTTTGTAAGACATATTGTGTTTAAAAAAGATATATCAACAGACAAAATACAATTTCAGAAAAGTTTCTGATTTTATCATTTTTGTGAAGCTGACTGCCTAGCGACCAAGCGGTCTGGCGACCTTAACTTTTAAACTTGTAGTTGTGAAAACAATCAAAACAGCACTTAATGAAATTTTGGTACATTATTTGACATATCTTGTCATCTCAAAATATATAAACAGTAAAAAACACTCTCAGAACAGTTTTTGATTCATCAAAGTTATAGACATTTTGTTGACACGGTACATCTTTTGACAACCATTGTTTCATAAAAATCCTAAAGGTGATATTTGTTCAAATAATACCCTTTTGCCCCGTAGAAAAAGTAAAATAGAAATAAAATAACATTGCTGTTGCACTTTAAAACTTTAATTTTAAATCACAAAGATAATATATGTTAACTACTCAGGCATTTTAAGTATCAAATAGAAGGGTATTACTAGATTGGCATTCAAGCAAAATATATTCAATTGCTACAGCCATATACATGCACTTGTTAAATTCTTTCTTTATTCGAAATATTGATGCAACTTTAGACAATTTGATATGCATTATTGTTCTAAAGTCAATGAAGAAGGACAGATATTTAAATATGCACATTGCTGGAATTTTAAAATATATTTCATTTGCTGTATAGTTTTGTATATTATTATATATTTCAGATATCAATACAACCGAACTGTTGTATACATATAACTATTTTTAGTAAGATAAAATAAGGAAGAAACATAATTAAGAATGTGGAGGAAATTTGTACCATTATATTCATTATATTCATTTCGAATTATAACGCTCGGCCGCCACCTTAAAAAAAAATCTCCCGTCGTAAAGTTGACTGAATTTTTCTGAAATTCTGATTTCATATTTTTCTGTTTATAATGTCTTATAAAAGATTTGTCTTAAAAACTTCATTTTAAGCCATTTAATTTGTATGTTAGGGATATAAGGTCGCTTGGCCGCTAGGCCGCATACTTCAAGCCGCCGGGCCGCAAGGCTGCCAACTTCACACATATGTTTTGTTTTTAAAACATTCAATGTTAAATATTGAATACTGCTAGGCAAAGAGGCGTAACGCTTGTCAACAGAAAATCAGACTCATTCTAACATTCTGCCATTTTTACTAATATAATTTCTTTCTTCACATAATCTTAAATTTGTTTTGGATGGTACAAGTATGCATGAAATATGTTTACTAAACGGTACTCATGTTAAATTTCAAACTTTGATAAACTGTCTGACACTGTCTGAATTGATCATCTGTTTTTAATATCGGACTGCTTTTTCAACAAATTATTGGATTAAACATCTCATGCTGTTCACAACAGTTCTGTACTTAACTTGTAAAATAATGATACGTTCTTAAGTAATAAAAGTAGCTATTGTTTGATTATATTTAACATCTCTTTGCATTTACCTATGGCTGTACATTCTGTTGTTTCCCATTTACGGGACTCTAAGCAATTAAGAACGGTTTTGTTTGAAATGTATCCCTGGAAACATCTCACGTCAGCCCGAGCCCCAATGTCTGTACTTCTATTAGACAAAAGAACGTTTGCGTTATCAATATCCGGAGCGGTTCCACATCCTGAAAGGAAAAATACATTACATGCTCTACATGTATCACCTTAAATTATTCAATTCACTAAAGATCAGTACATTTACCAAACTCCCGTTATGTTATAAGTCTATATAAAATAATGCCATGCATGAAGTGTAAGGTGTTAGGAGAAATTATTTAAATCCATATGAAGTTTTATGATGCAGACAACATTTTAAGCATATAATGATAACAGAATATATGTGTGTACTATGTTCATTTCCCCTTTCTTCAAACTCGTTACCCGACATATGTATTACACATTATCTTGTTAACAAGATAATAGATGAAATTATTTGAAAACCAACGTCTTCCATCCTCTTTGTGTTTTTAATTGTTATTTATTCATTTATTTATTTATTATTTTGACGTTTTAGAATAATGAAAATATACTAAATCAAGTACCCTTTTCCTCGTTGTCCTCAATAACCTAGAATAGAGTGTAAACAATCAATATGAAATCTGAATTTCCACTTCAAAGTATAAATCACAACTTGTTCATATGTTCTATAAATTATTTTGTAATCTCTGCAATACTTTAAAATTTGTTTTCTCTATTCTGAGAGTTAGCAAAACAAGTCGGTACATGCTCAGGTAATTCGCAGCAAAGATTAATGTGCATAAATATAAATCATTGATTTATTTGAAACGAAAAGTTCCTTTCAAATTCATATTTATACATTAAGATAAAAAAATCAACAATGCTTGATAAAATAGATCTGAAAACAATTCTGAACAATACTCTTTGAATTGTGTTGGTGTGCCGTAAAACCAAACAAAACATACACAACAAATTTCACATTCAATACTGCTTTCCTCCCAAGGTAAGCATCTTAGTAAGCATATAATATGCTCTTAATTAATTTAAACTCTTAATTAATTTAAATATTTTTCCATAAATGTTTTTTTTGTTTTTTGTTTTTTTTTGTTGTTTTTTTTTTCAGAAGAAATATCGTACATGTATTCAATTCAAAGACTGAAAATGCCTTCCAACGGTAATAAACGGTAATATTCTAGTAGCAGCATTTCATCACCCTTATTGTGAACTTATTGCATTACACTGACTTAACTTCTTAAGCTTATTTAATAGTTTACTTTACACAAAATTCTTAAATAATTCTTTTACTACTGTTTTTTAATCGTATTTAAGCAAAACGTGAAATATTTGATAGAGCGAAGGCAAAACTGGCGGATTTACGTAACTAAATCGTAATGGTAAATCGTAAATCTTTGATTTACTGACTATAAGTTATACATAAATTTGTTTCGAAAACAAATTTAATCATTTAAACATTATATTATTTTGTAGCGTTCTTACTTTCTTTATGGCACTGCTGTAGTACGATAGTCTAAATCCTTTGATGTTTTTATTACTGCACTTTTTGTTGACGAACGATGATCCCGTGAGGTACCATTTTGACTGATATTTACAGACTACTGGGGATCCGTTGTCAACCTAAAACAATAAATGTTATAGGTTACTAGTAAATAGTACAAAAGGTTGAACGAAATGTTTTTATCATCAAACACTAAATATATTTTCATAAAGCGTACAGCTATACTGAAGAAATGAGATGGTAACTGTAGTATATTTGTTGAGCACTGAATTTGTTTCTTCTGATTACATTACGACACAACGAACGGAAACCGTCAAGTGAATATAGCAATTTCCTACCAATGCAGTAGAAACATTAATTGTTTCAGTCACTTTAGTAAAAACATCGACATTGGTAGAAACAAATACATGTATACGAACATTAACATGTATAAATTTACAATTTCATCAACAGATGTTTTGAACATATTGGATTATGAAACATTCATATATGAGAATATTCAAACCATTGATGCATGTATATGTCAATCACATATGATCTCTGAAACTAAACCCTTTCCAAAGATACACCAGGTACAAAGAAGGGCGATTTTGATCAAATTGATAGGATCTACTTTAAAATAATGTAAGTTCAAACATAAAAGTCATCTATATGCTGCAAGAAATATAAAGAAAAGGCAGAAAGGTAGATACACAAACATGAACATGAACAGCTATGAGCTTAAACGCGTTTGTGCTTTTAAAGTCGAAATAATGTGCTCGTATACTTATTCATGACGCAGCTTACCTTACAAACAGATCCTGTTTTCGTACCAAAACAAAGTTTCCCTTTTCCTTTGCATTTGTTCCACTTTAACGAAACTGCTACCTCACTATGACGCTTCCCATTTTCTGGGGGGAAAAAACAAAACAACATATCTAGGATTGTTGTCAAATAGGAAATTCTAAGGTTTCACGTCGTTCGTAGTCTCTCACTGTCAACGAGTTGAGTATTTGAGCCGTGTCACGACAAAACCAACATAGTGCGTTTGCGACCAGCATGGATCCAGACCAGCCTGCACATCCGCGCAGTCTGAACAGGATCCATGCTGTTCGCTATCATTTTCTCTACTTGTAATAGGGTTTGTAAGCGAACAGCATGGATCCTGATCAGATTGCGCGGATGCGCAGGCTGGTCTGGATCCATGCTGGTCGCAAACGCACTATGTTGGTTTTGTCGTGACGCGGCTCATTTTATAATTACATGTAAATTGTTCACTGCCATTTTATTTATTAAAATATCCCATTCAAACATAGAAAAATAGAATCAGACTGAGTAATGAAACCCCTTAAACGGCTAAATTCAACATGTTGAAGCAAGTAATAGAAAAAAAAACATGCGTAAAACGTTTGATGTTTTGAAATAAGTTTTTTTTCAATAATTTGTTGCAAACTTTGAATAATCTATATCATGAGTATTTTAATTACGGGAATAGCCGTTTCGAGAGCTATATACCGACAAATTTTCACTCAGCATACTCACCAGTAAAGCCAACTACTTTGCAATTTGTCATTTTCTTGTCAAGTTTCGCTGTACTGAAACGATCTAAAGCTGTCACTTTATCATTACTTTCATCAACTTCCTTGTTCAGTTCCAACATTATAACATCGTTATTTTTCTTGTCTGGAACCTGAAAAACATTTTAGCATACAATGATTTATTATAATGTAAAGTGTGTAGTGTTAAATTGAATTACAGTACTAAACTATGAAATTATCGCACAATAACGATTGTGTCGTGTTGACAACAGGAAATTATATATGTAACAGAGTCAGTTACATGTACTAAGAATAAAAACATTTAGAAACAAAAAATGATTAGTACATTTGTATAAATATATATATAACATATATTATGCATGCTTTCATATCATTCAACTTTTCGTAGGGTGAAAGATAGCATACATAATTTTGTTGATAATGTTATCTTTATAATCGTTTATTTTAGGTTCTGAAATAAATTATTGTTGATATGATATATAATTTGTTTTGTGTGTGTGTGTTTTTTGTTTTTTGTTTTTTTTCGATTATAAATATTTATATATTTGTATAAGAAAGCTTGCTGTCTTTATGCACGAGGTATGTTTTAAAAATTTCGTGGATTCTTGTTGTCTATTTTTACTTGGTTCATAAAAACAAACTTGGTTGATATTATTCGAAAGGGTATATTTACTTCTGAAAGTGAGTTTTACTTTTAGTTTAAAAATTTATTTCTTTCACGAACTGTATGCTCTTTAATAACCAGGGCAACGCAACATGTGCATCAGCTTTCTATAGGGGTATTTTGTATTTTCCAGTAAATTAAGTCAGCCTTATTAAAGCTGATATGCTGTTAATTGAGTTCAAAACGTTTACCAGTCTGTTTTTAATAAATATCTGGAAAAAAGTGATCCCTCGGAAGCATTAAAGACAGCAAAATTAGATAAAAATTGCAGACTCAGTTTGATTGTGTCTGTACATGTGAGATAGTTAAAAAGTGCAACATCCCACACATGCCCCCTAGCACCGGCTTGAATGATTATCGTTTCTTAAGGAATATATCATAATTCATAGCATTGTTTATGTCATTTAATGTCTTAAAACTCCCATCTGTCGCAAGGAAAAGTAGTCTTTCAAGAAACTTGCTTGTAGTTTTAATATTGCAGTTATTTAGATTTTAACTACACCATAATTTTATCGATATATTTTTAAAATTGTTAATTTGAAATTGACGTACTTAATTATTATTACAATTGATAAACTGAATTGCAACATGTCATAGCTTAAGGCAGATTTTTGCAATAAACGTTAATCATTACACATGTTTTACCTTTTAACCCTTTTAATTGTTAATTTATAACATCATTTGATAATTATTGACAAACATTCAGGCAAGATAATACATAACTACCAAATTATATTGCTTGTATTTGCAATTATCAAAGTTATAAGAAAAAAAAGATAAAAAGAATATCTTTGGTAATAAAATATTTCAACATTATTATCTTAATGTAGGTTATTGAATGCCGTTAATATACATGTATAATAATTATGTTTCAAACTATTAATTAAAATCTTCTGTCCCTAAAGCACTAAAAATGCTAGACATGTATTTGGTATATTTTGTAAAAGTCCTGAACAAAAATGTCAAATATTGTATAAAATATCAAAATTGATATTGTGCTCATTATATTGGAGTTTAAAGGTTTTATAAGAACTAGAAGTAAAAGTTCTAAACTTATGTTCGCTTCTAATTTCGTATGACGCCATAACCGTTATCTGACTGTGTTTTTTTTGTGTTCCTTTCCTTATAGTTTTTTTTTCATTGATGATAACATTGTAGCATGTTCAGTATTTCTTATTTATTTTAAAGGGCGTGCATAAATTCTAATCATCATCATTCAAATAATATATATCTTTTACTTGAATTGTGTATTGCTGTAATTTTCAAATTAATAATTACAGAAAAAAAATCAAAGACGAATCATCAGAACTCATTATCTAATAACATTTATACCGTTATTATTGTTTATAAGCATAAGTTTATGGGACCCGATGATGGCCGAGCACTTGTTTAAAAATCACATTCTTTTTAGAAACTCTCATTACTGTAAATTTGATTGAAAGTCACAAATTCTGCTATTCTGCAAAGTGATTGATATTTGTTCTCATTAATAATGTTTTAACTTGGTTCATTATTCAGGATCGCCTGAGTACAGGCATCCCACATTTGCTATTTTTTGTAACCTGTACATTTTTTATGACACTCGCAAAACATTCTTGTTGTTTTCAATATGAACGTATGAAGTAAAAATCATACAAAAACCACCGTAAACATACATGTATTTGTTATATCAACGACACAACATGAGGTAGATTTTAACTCTGTTTTGGTAAGAATAATTATTCCCAAGAAATTATGCATACACTACTAACTATTGATCGAGGCATTAAATTAAATACAGATCTTAGGTGTGCGTATGCGACCAAAGCCAAAAACTGCGCATTTTTCAGACCTTAACATTGATGGAGAAACACGTTTTTGCTTGAATGTCATAGTTTTGCTTTTAAGCAATTGATGACGACTTTGTGAGACAGTCCTCGTATATCACTTGAACGAACACAAAGTGTTCTATTGCCACAAATAGTGAAACAGACACAACGGGCCCAAAGGTTTTATCGTGCTACTAAAATTAATTGGTTGTTATAAGATGCTATAAAAGACCAGAGGTTACATATATGTGTACATGTATTATAATTGTCAAAGGAATACTATTGTGTGAGTGCAAATATATTTATCTTACGAACAAATGTCATTACCTCAAGTTTCGTCACTTCGCGCATTACATCTGTACCCTTGCTTTGTGAAGAGCTCATGTACACTTTATACTGTGATACTTTCCTATAATTAGAATAAACCCTTTCAAATATGGTAAAAAGCATGCTGGAATACTTAGTTAAAAAATTAGACAACTATTTACTGTATGATGATGACGTTGGTGCCGGAAGATTTGAGCCGCGTCACGACAAAACTAACATAGTGCGTTTGCGACCAGCATGGATCCAGACCAGCCTGCACATCCGCGCAGTCTGAACAGGATCCATGCTGTTCGCTATCAGTTTCTCTTCTTGTAATAAGGTTTGTAAGCGAACAGCATGGATCCTGTTCAGACTGTGCGGATGCGCAGGCTGGTCTGGATCCATGCTGGTCGCAAACGTACTATGTTGGTTTTGTCGTGACGCGGCTCATTTGTTTTATATCTCTATTTTTTGTACCGAACTTTTGAATCCTGACACCAGTAATGTGATGACAGATATCCCATGGCTCTTTACTAACCGCGCCATAACGGTACTCATTCATACCCTTACAAGGTGAAAATTATATGTGCCAGAGTAAAGGGGGCATTTTGTTTAAATCCGTTAAACTTCCAGATATTCAATCGCTGTATTTGCAGTTATGTTACGTGCATGCAATTTGTCACAGTATTTGGGATTGTTTACGGTTAATATGGTTTCGTAAAATTTGTGCACGTGTAACAAAAATCAGACGCTATTTATTTAGGTTATTAGCTTCAATATACCTACATGTAACGTTGTAATAATGAATTAAATGGGTCATTCAAATGTTGAAGAGATGCAAATTAAATATATATAAAAGGTAAAAATAGTCTTACTTTTTATTAACGCAATTTTTCAGAGTAACCACCCATTTGCTATCAACAAGTATGCCATTGCAAATGTGTTTGTTATTAAGTTGTAACTTTACTGCAAATGAAAAGTCTCCTCCAGAAACTTCTTCGCCATTTTTAATTCTTTCCTCTTCATTGTTTTGGCACAATGCCAAGGTGATGACTGGAAAAGATTAAAACGACAGGAGTAAAATATTTTACTAAATGATTGAAATTATAATATGAGTATGCAACAGATTCTGGTTAATGTATGAACAATAATTCTTATCCACCCAATATGATGCTTAATCAGTCAAATATATTTTATATTCGTTTTCATAAAAAAGTGCGCGGAGTAAAACTCGTATTTACTAAATTGGGACTACTCTCTCAAATGTTTTTTTCTCTGACAGTCGGTAGTTTCAATTATTTCATTTACTCTATTTCAATACAATAATCCTAGTCATGTTGTCTGAAAACAGTTTAAGATGGCTTCGATAAATTTTGTAAACGTGCAAGGCGCTGACAAATAATCAAATATTACTGCGCGCTGTGCAATTGAAAATGTGTAGTAAGGTTGTGGTTTGGTAAACAACTCCCTAACCCTAACCCTAACCCCGTAAACAATTTTCTCTGTTTTTCTTGATGGTAAAATTATATAAAAATGTTTATTTTTCAGGATATGGAAATATTTTCAGGAAACAAGAAAACTCTCCATATATTTACAGTCGCCCTTCGGCCTCATGGAAATAAAATGTAAATTGTATTGAGAGCATTTTGTTGCAGGTCGCCATGACGTATAGTATCCTACCATTGTGCATTCTGTTTTTTAAATATATAACTGCGCGTTGTGCAATTGCAGATGCATAGCAAGTTTGGGTACAGTAAAACATTTGCATTGCTTTTTTCTAAACGGTCAAATGAAAAAAAGGTTATTTTTCGTTTTACCGGATATGTGGAAATATTTTCAGGAAAAAAGTTCCATATATTTTCATTCGCAGTTCAGGCTCATGAAAATATATAATATTTCATCATGTTTTGAGAAAATACATTTTATATACAACAAAAAGTATCCTTTTAATATTAAATGCATGAGTGACGTTCATTTTGAAAATATATTAGCTAAACAAACATGATAGTTTATAAAAGGACTAAAATTAAACAACAAAATAATATGAAGAACTTACATTTTAACAGCAATACAAATATCCCTAACTTCATAATTAGGCTATAATTATATACTGAATAAGCTTTGAATAGTATTATTTTGTCATTTCAGTTAATCATTTTTTTAATTAAAATGTTATATACCTTTTGGCAATATAAAATTTCTTTGGCCTGGTCATTTTTAATAAACGTGCCCGGGTGACGTAGGTGCATAATTAAAGAGTGTATCATAAATGGTCAAAAGGTGAAAAAACAACATTTTGTAATTTATTTTGCTGGCATATATTCAATTTTAAATTGAAAAGAACACAGATTTAAACAAAACAACACATACAACAACACAAAACACCACAAAATAACATAAAGGACACAATAAAAAAAGTGTTAGTCAGGCCTATTGTAACACAAAACCATCTCAACGTTCAAAGCCACACAAACAGACACCTAAAATATAAGAAATATGTGACATTTTAAAATGAAAAAGACCACTCAACAAAATGATTCAGGCTCTTCGTGCCATCACATTTTCTGAAGTTCTCAACAACGTAAGTAAAACTTGTTCTCTCTGGTGTCCCCCAAGGTTCGGTCCTGGGACCTTGCCTTTTCTTATCTTACATAAATGATCTCCCTGAAAGTGTTACGGGCAAGGTTAGACTATTTGCCTATATGCTATTAGACGATACAATAGCATACCAAACAATCAAATCAACCCAAGATGCACAAACCCTACAAAAAGATCCCAACAGTCTTGAAAACTGGAAATCTGATTGGTCTATGGAATTTAATCCAGATGAATGTGAAGCCCTTGGTATTAGCCGCAAGAAACATCCAATAATTAACATTCCCTTATAATTTACATGGTCAACAACTAAAATCAACATAGGCTGCAAAATATTTAGGGGTAACAATTAGTAAAGAACTATCTTGGACCAAAATTATAAATAACATGACAGCAAAAGCAAATAAATCACCTTGATTTTTTAAAAAGAAATGCCAAAACTTCTAACAAAAAGGTTACAGAATCTGCCTACAAAACTTATGTAAGGCCCCACTTAGAATACTGTTCTGTTACCCTACTATACAAAATCCAACACAATCTTGTGAGGGTCGACCATCACCATCTGACACCACTAGCTAATACCATATTCAAGGACACAATGCCATTCCTATTCAATTTTTCCTCAGAAGTATTCGTCTGTGGAATTGCCTACCTGTGTCCTTACAAGCTAGTCCCAGTTAAATTAGGCCTCTTTACTGGGAAGCTGCATCCTTTTTACCAGTTCTAAGTCAGCTTTGCTTTTAACTTTTTATCTCAGTCTTGTAGTTCTCTTTTAACTTGCTTTTATCTTATACCTATAAATTTGCACTAAACACATTTGTTTTAACGGCTATTCCCAGACAACGTGCCTGCTTAGTGTAATCGTTAACGATTTTAAAGCAGTATAATGTAGATGTAGATATGAAGTAACTTTTTGTTAAAATTCAACTCTTACCTTAATAACAAATGTACACTTTTCTAGCAATATCAAGACCCTATGAAACATCCAAGGGTCATCTGTGTCTGGGAGCCATTTAGTGGTGTTCAACCTGAAAACACGCCACTGTACCGTAAATATACGGATTTTAACTATTCGTAAAATGGCGTCCCACGGTAGAACAACCGGTTGGCCTAAAAGAGAAAGGAGTGATTCCTTTCCATCTCTTCAAAATCAAGGGCAGGAATCAAATCGAATGATTAATCTGTAATTGTTTATGTTTTTATGGACTTTATATTATTTCACTGTATCAAATATTTCAATAATTCACACTATAATTCTGAGAAACCTCGCGAAAATTGAAGACAGAAAAACAAAAAAAGGCTCTGTTTAAAATTGCTTTAATTAGCAGGCCTAGGATTTCACTCTCCGTTAATTTATAGATAGTCAAGAAATTGAAAGATTTTTCAATCCATAAATTTACAGATATTTAATGTGCAATTTGATGTTTTTCAATGTGCAATTTGCTGTTTTTAATTTTACACTAAAATCCGCAGCTTGAAACAAGTTGTTTTATTGATTGTTTATATTTACAAAGGCAATGGAGTGAGTTTCATCTTTGTATGATGATTTTTAAATTTTTGTTAAAATTGAAAATTGTTCTGAATCTTACCATATGTACTGATTAAGGCCCCCACGATTACACGTTTAAACGGATTCATTTCGATTTTCATTCATAAACGTTTACGATATTGTTTACCGTTTAATCGAAATGACCATATTGTCTTACAATTTTTTTAATCATTGCCTGTAATCATGGATTTTATCAATTCTAGTGGTTTATTCCAAAGTAAACAAACGGAAAATAGGTGTTTACAACCCTCCACACAGCATTACGGTGCAAAATTGCTCGTGACATAATACATTTTTGGTAAAGAAGGGGGTTACAATGCAAAAAATGTGTGCTGACTCAATCGTGATGAGCCCTGCACATTCTTTATTTGTACATGTATAAAAAATAGAAAGAAAGACATCATTTGGCTACTTAAATACATGGTGTGTATATTACATAGAGGTACCACCGTTTAAACGGTCTCGTTTCGGTTCTTAGCAATCGTGTAAACGTTTACAAAAAAATGTAAACGTGGGAGCCTTAGTACTGATACATTTAATCAAATAATACGTAAACTTATTCAATTTAACCTGCGGTTTTGAATTTTAATGTCACTTCTACTATTTTCCTATTTAATGTCTGTAAATTTACAGATAGAAAAATCTAATATGAAAAATGCAAAGCCTCAAAACAAGCTTGATTTACTTTTACTGTGAAATTAGGCGTTCATTTTATTTTACTATTTTTGATTAGACTGATATTGAATCAAATTGAAGTGAATTAAAGCAGGGTATACATTTGATTTTGAAAGTGGCATGTGTACAGTATAGAGTGGAAATTGCAAAACCAGGTTCAGGGCTCTCGATTGACACGGGGATCCGGGTTTTGACTCGTGAAAATCGGGAAATGCACAAATTTGACACATGATAAAATCTGCTCAAGAGTCAATTTGCCACATGGGATTTTCAGCTATGCAATAATAATTACCTTAAATCCACCCCTAATTACCTATCAAATCCTACATATGTTCAAATCACACTCATTAAAATGTCAACAGGCAGTATAAGCCGTGTATAAAATGCTTTACACACGGCAATTGTTTATAGCTTGTGCACTGAAGCGCGACAATTCAGTGGCTGCAATTTGACAGCATTAAAAATAGCTCTACACAACTGATAAGAATTACATACTTGAGGTGTCAATTATTGATTGCTTTTAAAGGTTTATAATACGTCTTTGATTTACTTGGAGTACCTGTGCATTTCTTATTTCTTTTTCCATTAAATATTCCTGGTACATTTTGGTATTTAAAATTGATATGATATAGCATACCAGTAAAGATACTTTTTTTTATATTTTATACATTTAATCAGAAAAGCTGCTGCTTATTTTATTCTTTCATTTTTTTGTTTTATAATTAGGCATTTTTTCTGTCAATTTAGACTTTGGAATCTCCAAAAATGACCTCCAATACAGTCATTTTTGTAACATAAAATGATTCATGTAGTCAAATGACACTAGAAAAAAATGATTTGACTCATGAAAATTTTGGCCAAAGAGTCTTTGACTCGTGAAATTCTGACCCTACTGAGAGCCCTGCAGGTTGTACATTTTGTACTTCTGTTGTAATGTATTGCTGGGGAGAAAACCTCTCCTGCTACATATATCTAACTCTTAAGATTGTCATTTTAAAATCATATTTATTAACTTGAAATTTTCAGTGCAGTTTTCTGCTAAAAAAGATTGACATCAATGTAAAACAATTTGATATTTGAAGACCTCGCTAATGTTAACATGTAAACCAATGAATTTAATGTAGCCATTTGAAGTGGTAAGTTCAGTATTTTTACCCTTCATGTTATTTCCTTTATCTCCATTAGCCCATATACTGTGACAAAAGTTTATCATACACAGGCTACTGACTATGGATATAAACCATAACATTTATATTAGTTTGTCTATTTAATACTATTTATGATATTACAGATATCCTCTAACTAACTACACATTTGGAACAAAAGATCCATTATATGAAAAAGATGCATCAGTGCCAGCAAGATTTTCACGTATGCGGGAAGAATTTGACAAGTTTGGAATGCGCAGATCTGTTGAAGGGGTTTTGATTGTACATGAACATGGCTTGCCACATGTGCTACTTCTACAGCTCGGAACAACATTCTTTAAATTGTAAGCTATTTATATGTTGTTAATTTAAACTGAATAGTGTGAACCTTATCATGGAATAGCAGAGTTTACAGTTGTATCCTTTTTAATGCACTTTAGCTAACCCTTTTTCAAAAAACTCTAAAAGTAAAAAAATACATATTGTAATGACTATTTATTGGATTCTGAGTTTTATTAAAGCCACTTGCCTCCAGATGATATAATGAAACAATTAATTTAAACTTCATATTAACAGTAATTAATACATTTACTGGTCTTGTTAGGTTTAATATGGAAAAAACTCCAGAATTAGTGACCTCTTTCTTTATTCAAGAAAACAAAGTTGACAAATCATAAAAAAATGTGTTTCTTCTTTGCATAATCTACTGTTAAAAAAAAGTAATCAGAGAGTAGTCTAGCATTGCCTAATGCTTTGTTTTAACAAATTTTTCAGACCAGGAGGTGAGTTGCGGAATAAAGAAGACCAAATTGAAGGTTTAAAAAGACTTCTGACAGAGGTAGGTTTTATGTCTTAATGACTAATACAGCAGAACTTCGGTAAGTCAAGTTAAAGGGACTTGCGTAAAATCTTTGAGACATTTGGATTTTGACTCGTATATCAGTCTTAATTTTAGTCAAAAATTTTTAGCTGTCAGTGTTTACAAGTGTCTTATAGAAGGCACAACAAATGGAAAGGGCGATAACTCAACTAGCTTAAAGTAAGTATATTCTGTGAAATTATCACATGCTATCTGGTCTTGAAAGATTCCAGACAAAACAAATTGGTGAGGCATATTTTCATACTTCTAATTATTGATTACAATTAAAGCATATGATATTCTCAAGCATAGGAATGCAAACAATGGCTGGGTAATTAATACCTGTCATACAAGTTGATTGGCAATAATTATAGCAGCTAGGCTCTGAAATTGTATTTGATTCCTGTTAAAGAGTTAGACATTCCTGATATGATTGTAATGTCATAAGATATCAGGACCATGCTGTTATATTATTCTTTATCAAATTAATTTATTTGATGTGATTTTTTTGCAGACATTGGGGAGACAAGATGGTGCTCCTATGGAATGGACAGTCGAAGAAACAATAGGTAACTGGTGGAGACCAAACTTTGAACCCCCTCAGGTATGTGTACACAGTAGAGAAAGCAAGGAAGGAAGGAAGGGAGGAAGGAAATCATATTTTAATTCATTATTTCTGCTTTCAAATTTTGTATAATTTATTGACTTGTTTTGCTTTAATTTTTTTAGATTAAGAGATTTTAAGCAAAGATCTGTTTATCATTACATTAAGAATTGAAAGGGTTTTATCAATCAAATTTAGATTTTACTATCTTTGAAATAAATGAAAACTTAATTTTTGTTCCTTATTTTTTTCCAAGGTAAAGCAATCTTGTAACCTAGTGAAGAAAAAAATGATATAGAGGATATTTGTTTAGTTCAGAATATATTTCACCGAGTGAGCACCAAAAGGTATATTTCATGAGTGGCGCACCACCGAAAAGCATGTAATAAAGTTTTATTATAAATTTAGTTGCGTTAAGATAAATTTTGGATGTTTTTTTTTTAATGTTTCAGTATCCATACATCCCTGCTCACATCACACGACCTAAAGAACATAAAAAACTCTACCTTGTGCAATTACCAGAGAAAGGTAAGTCTTTTTGTATATCAGCCTTGAAGACTTAGTTAGAAATAGGTTTATAGATTTTTTTCTTCAAGCAGAAATAGTTCTTTAATTATGTATTTGAATTTAAAAATAAATTCGGAAAATGACCGCTTTTAATGCTTTTAAAGATCATTTAATGTTGCATGTTTTATGATAATTTTTGTACATAATTGTCAACCAGGTATGATGAGACCGTCAATATACTTTCAATGCTAATATTTCATATTTTAGCTAAGGCTCTTGACTTTACCCTATATGACTATTATATCAAACTTACAGCACAATATATTCAACATTAAAATGTTTAATACCATATGCTTGATTTTTTATGCATCCCAATTTAAGGAGGCATATGGTCACCTTAGCACAGACACTTGGGGTTTGGAGCTCAAAACGCCTTTAAAATCCAAATAAAATGTATATTTGTCAATCCCAGCACATGTACTGATCATATATATCAAAAAAACTTAATATAAGCCGTTTTGAAAAAAAATCATATTTCAACATCTGCTGGAAAAAATCCGCACCCCTACCGTCATAATTAGTGATGTTCTGGTTGTAGCAAGTTGCCGATAATCGGTTATTGGTATGTAAAGCGACAATAATCGATTCACAAAAATTTATTCCGCGACGTCGTCGAAAATGTTTAAAGCATCAAAGGGAATTAATTCTGACGGTAATTTTCTTTTAGGAACACCTCGCCGATCGCAAAAAATTATCTTAGAGACAATTGGGAGTTGAACAGGATCAATACGCGATGTAAACAATAGTAATATAATGTGATGCGAATGCTATTATTTGACATCCATTGAAAAATGAAATATATTTCGTAAAATTATGACTATATAAGGTTAAAACTGTGTTGAAAAGTGCTAAATGAAGTTCATGTTACAAATATAATCAAGTGCCTTGTGAAGAAATGTTAATCCCCTATTTCTTTTTAACGCGACTTAATTCGAAAAGTTATCGATTATGTCCCATCCGATTGAACCGATGATCGATTGGGACAAATTTCATCCGATTTCCATCACTAGTCATAATCACCCTGTATTTTATTCCATTTCCAATATTTTCACATAATCCTTTGGTGCATCGACACAGAAGATATAATTCTTCACAATGATGGTCAATTTTAAACTTCAACGGTAATATAAACAACGCAACAGCCGAAATAAACATCAAGATTATCGCCGTTTTCCTCCATTGACAAAATCTTTCGAAAAATTCAAACGTGCCAGTCGGCTATGAACGAAGCCATCCGATTATGTGGTTCCCAAACCTAAAAGTGCTGCGCATTTTGCACACGGCAAAGCTAGGATTGACTAATATGCATTTTATTTGGATTTTAAAGGCGTTTTGAGCTCCAAACCCAAAGTGTCTGTGCACCTTAGTGCAATAACAGAATAAACTTTGTCATTTATGGATGGAATTTAAAATAATTTTGTAGAAATAAGCAACACTTTTGGGCAATTTGTCATGTGCAACAGGCATTGAAAAATATTTTCAGTCACTCGTCCTGCAGGAGCAGGTAGCTTCTAAATCCAATGTACATGCAACTTCCTTTTACTCATCCTGCATTAAATTCTCTAAAATTCTACTCGTAATTACAAGTGGAAGAGTGGAATTTTCAATCTCTGTGCAAGCCCTAGATCTGAAGCTAAAATGTCAATTATTATATGCATAAATGTTTTGGATATAATGAAAATGGGAAGCACGCAAGAATCGGGTCCCTATCTCAAAGGTCAAGGTCAACTTGTAAATCAAAAGTCATGATATGAATTTTTATAAAAGTACAATTCTGTCATTCCTTGACAGATTTAAAAATTGTTATGCATAAATTTGTTAGATGTAATGATGATGCATGCAAAAGTCAAGGTCACACATGTATTCCAACGTCATGATATGAATTTTTTCATAAAAATGCATTGAAAGTGGTGTCCTGTCAACAAGACAAATTTTATAATAATTTGGCATATATGTTAAAACATGATGATGATGTGTCAAGCATAGGGGCCTGATATCCAGTTCAAAGGTCAAGGTCACACCTGTATGTTAAATGTGATGACTGTGAATAGATTGTTTTCTTTTGTTCATTCATTGACTTTTAAATAATTATGCATAATTATGTTGTTTATTTAGATGATATGTAATGAACAAAATTTTACACAGCAGCCAAATGGTCAAGTTCATACTTGAATGTCAAATGTCATGATATGACAGTGAATTGATAGTCATGTCCGGTACATGTCTCTTTGTCATTCAGTGACAGATTTTGTGATAACTTGGCTTAATTATATGGTTCTTAAAACAGTTTGTGATGAACTTGTTGCTTAAAGATCAAGGTCAAGCTAGGACTTTTAAGGTTAACAGTTTCATAAAAGTATATTGATAGTTATTCCCAGTCATCAGTTCTGTCATCCATGAAGGAATTTTAAAATAACTAGGCATACTTCTGTGGCACATTAGGAAAACAACACATGCAAATGCCAGGTTGACAGTTTAAAAGGTGATGATTAAACTTGAATGTCAAGATAGTACATTGATGCTTGTGTCTTGTCATATCTTTGACATTCATTCATGGATGCTTTAATAAATAATTTGGCAAGCTGAGAATACGAGGAAGTATTTGTTAATGTTTATATATTCTTGTAACACTCTTTTTATGATGACCTGTAAAACATGCCATTAATACAAGATCATGGTTGCTCTACTGGGCCCTGCTTGGGGGACATTTGTCTGTTTCCAACAACAGTTCTTGTTTTTCATATTTTAGTCTAGAATGAAAATTAATGGAAAGTAATATGCTATTTTTGATAATTGTTTGTTTCTAGATGGTAATGTAAATATTTATATTTCAGCATTATTTGCAGTCCCTAGAAACTACAAGTTAGTAGCAGCTCCATTATTTGAACTGTACGACAATTCATCTGGTTATGGTCCAATAATCTCAAGTTTACCACAGGCTCTTAGCAGGTGAGTAGTCTATAAATCAAGGTTCTTTATGTGAGGAATTTCAGAATAAAAGCCCTGCGATCCAGTGGAAGCACTGTATGCTAGTGTCTGGCTTTAAATCTGGGGATTATGAGTTTGAGCCTCCTCTAAACTTACAGAATTTACTTTTAGATGCAAGTTTCAAAAAATACGGTGCAGTGTATTAATGTGTGCAAATGATCAGTTGTTTCTTCTGCAGTTGAGAAAATTTCTCAGTTGTTTTCCATATCCTTAAAAAAATATTAAGGAATTTCAAGCTTTCTGGTTTACATTTCAAGTGATTGAAATACCGTAGATACGCTGCCATAGTTCGTAATCTTTCAACATTATGTCTATGTTTCTTTACCAATCGGTACTGAAAAATAGCCCGCATCACCGCTTTCAGAACTCTCAAAAAAGACCGTAATAAGATCAATATTTTTTAGTAACTCGACCATAAGTCAAGTTGATTTTTATGGACAATTTTGGCAAACGTTTTTGGTCGACTTATGGCCGCAAATCTATGGCAAGGAGTTTTATGAACATTTGGATTTAATTGAATGCATTTTATTCTATTACCATGGGGCCAGTAATTTTGAGTTAGATTACGAAAGGTCAGTAGTTTTCTTAAGTGCCTAAAGTGATATCATGTTTTTGTGTCACCTGCTACACGATTGCAGTATTGTTAAGAATAATTGTCATTACTTATTTGAAGTTCTCTATTTGAAAAAAAGAAGTTTTATTGTCATAGGGGAAGTAACTTACGTTGAGGTCACTTTGGAAAAAAAATCAAGAGTTGTCTCCAGTTAAACTTCTCTTACGTGTGGAGTTGCAAATTCATTTTGTATATGAATATATGTCAGGGTAATAACCTCATTATGAAATATTTACTTTTACATGTAAAATATGAAAAACTATTTCTAAGAACAGTTTGCATTTGTTTCTAGTAGTGAAACAATAATAATACATGCATATATGTATTTTATTCAAGAATACAGAAAAAAAATCATGTAAGGCAAAATCAAAAATGTTGACAGATCTATATCTAAAATGTTCAGCATGCTTGCTTTAGCCAATCACTAGCCAGTGTCTTTCGTTTCGTGTTTCATATACTTGCATCTATCTATGTGAATTTAAAATACATGACTTGTATGGAAATCTAAAAATACAATTTTTTTGAAAGTATAAAATTAAAATACTAGTTTAGAATGAAGGTTATTGTGTTAGTCATATTACCACAAAAATGCAACAACTGACAAATCTGATTAATTTTACTTTGTAATTTCTATACAATGATCTTTAATATTATAGGTTACATTTTAGTGTTCAATTCTAATAAAAAATCGGAAATCATGGGAATTCAAAGCAAATTAGAATGAAGTATTATATAAAGACAGGACAGAATACGCATTGTCAGTTTTGAAAAGAGCAAAAGTTGATACAGAAATTTATGACTAGAGTTATAAGCGTAAAGATCACTATTTTTAGGTGAAAGGCGCCCCAGTATCTTGTTACATATATCAATCTGTTGGGTTCTTGTACAATATATGAATAACAAGGTATTGTCTGATTTACAAGATTTGTGACAATCATTTTTCTACGCACATTTTACTTGTATAATTAACAGACAATATTTTGTCTGTTACAGACATGCCTGTTTATGAATACATTCCTCTGACATTTGATAAATTGGGGGAAGTAGCTATTTTGTTTTTCAAAATCCTTGGCATCAGAATATTTACAATCACTCATCCTTTATCTCTATATACTAATTTCTGGTTATAAACGGTTAAAAGTTATTGAATAGGAAGATTTTGAAAAAGTAAGGTTCCGGAAATTACGTATATATTACGGTATTGGCCGATATTTGAATTATTTTGGCCTTATATTAAGACTACCTTAAACAAACGTGAATCTGGAAAGGGCAAAATATTACCATGGTAGACTCTACTGTTATATGATTAACGAGACATGCCAGATGTCACAGCATTTGCAACCAAAATATATTGAATAAGAAATATCTTTCTTGTACTGCAGGATAAGCTTTAATTTTGCAGTGGCCTTAAACACGGGCCAGACTTTTCATGGAGGGGCCTCTGGTATGGTGTTATAAGTGAATTTCATAATTGTAACTGTGTTCGTGAGACTGGATTGTATATTAGCACTTTCAGATATTTGTTGTACTTTTTTTTGTCGTTATTCAAAAAAAAAGAAGCTGGGAGTAGTTTGAATTCTTGCTCATTATTTAACTAAACTTAAAAGAAAAATACAAAACAGAGATCTTTTGTTTTTTTTGTGCGTATGAAATAGTAATACATATAGTATAGTTAAGATCATCAAGATAAGAAAAGATGTTTATGAAATTTGTGATGTTTTTGATTGTCTCGAAAAAAAATAAAATATATCTTCTTTCTTACACCAGGGATATTAATAATATATGAATCTGCAATGAAAAATTGCTTTTATTCTGTTGCTAAAGAAAAAAATGCTCAATATTAAAGTATAAGTGGTTGAATGAAAAAAACTTGTTACATTTATTTCATTTTGACTAAAGGCAGGGTCATAAAAATGCTTTAAGGAAGGAAAATGTTAATGCTATTAGTATGACACTGTCTCATTCGATTTTCTGATTTTGAAAGATACGAACTAAACAATAAGACTGTTAGGGTAGTCGTAATTTCAAATGTTGTAATAATGGACATATCAGATATTGTGTAATTACACATAAAAGTCCCTGTCGGGATCATAAATCAAACTTTATTAACATCTCCAACAGATCACATGCATTTTTAATGATTTTTCATTTGCGGAGCAATAAATTTTCAATATAAAACCTGTAAATTGCTACCAAATGTTAACTGTAATGAAGCAAAAACTTGTTTGACATTAAAGTGATTGTGTTTTTTGTCTTAAACTATAATGCCGTTCTATATGGAGAATAATTAGAAATCTTCCTGAAGTTATTACGTAGCTGCTAGACCCAAAATGATGGATTAAATATTAGATACTTAAGAAATAATAACCACTATCATGGGCCCTTAAAATCGTGAGAAAATACTATTACAAAATTGATTTAGTAATAATGGGTATGGTTGTTGAAATTGTTTGGAAATAGATTGTTTGTTAGACTCTCTTACAGACATGGATTTTGGATTTCCAACTTAAGACCGAGATATTTAAACAGTATATCAGTTGCAGGACTTTTTTTGTAGTTATATAGTTGTAGTTTATGAGACTCTAAATCAAAAGCTTGTTTTTTTTTACTCCGCAGTCTGCAACTTGTACGTGTATTTGTTCCAAAAATTCATAAAATTGTTAAAATGTCATTTTATCTTTGCTGTATGAAAATAGATTCAGGTTCAATGTCCTTTTTAGCTCGACTATTCGATAAGAATAAGTAGAGCTATTGCAGTCACCCATGCGTCGGCATCCGCGTCGGCGTCGGCGTAACCACTTATGTTAAAGTTTTTGTAATAGTTCAAATATTTTCAAAGTCCATAGACATATGGCTTTGAAACTTTGCACACTTGTTCACCATCATGACCCCAACCTGTAGACAGGAGGAGGTAACTCTATCAAGCATTTTGACAGAATTATGCCCCTTTTTCGACTTAGAATTTACGTTAAAGTTTTTGTAATAGTTCAAATATTTTCAAAGTCCATTGACATATGGCTTTGAAACTTTGCACACTTGTTCAACATCATGACCCCAACCTGTAAACAGGAGGAGGTAACTCTATCAAGCATTTTGACAGAATTATGCCCCTTTTTCGACTTAGAATTTACGTTAAAGTTTTTGTAATAGTTCAAATATTTTCAAAGTCCATTGACATATGGCTTTGAAACTTTGCACACTTGTTCACCATCATGACCCCAACCTGGAAACAGGTGGAGGTAACTCTATCAAGCATTTTGACAGAATTATGCCCCTTTTTCGACTTAGAATTTACGTTAAAGTTTTTGTAATAGTTCAAATATTTTCAAAGTCCATTGACATATGGCTTTGAAACTTTGCACACTTGTTCACCATCATGACCCCAACCTGTAAACAGGAGGAGGTAACTCTATCAAGCATTTTGACAGAATTATGCCCCTTTTTCAACTTAGAATTTACGTTAAAGTTTTTGTAATAGTTCAAATATTTTCAAAGTCGGCATTGACATATGGCTTTGAAACTTTGCACACTTGTTCACCATCATGACCCCAACCTGTAAACAGGAGGAGGTAACTCTATCAAGCATTTTTTTTACTATCAAGCACTAAGAATAGTCGAGCGTTGCTGTCCTACCGACAGCTCTTGTTTTCAATTCAAATATTTACATAATTATGAGTCAGAAGCTTATTAATGAAAAACTAAACAATTAAAAAAAGTCTGTGAAGGTAGGAGTGATTTAGTTAAATTAAAGATGTTTTATTCTTCCCTTAGTAACGTCCAACTAACTAAATCGTTGACCTACTTTTCGTAGGCTCGTGAACTTGTTTATATCTGTATAGACTCAACATTTAAATGATTGGGTAATTAGATGCTATTGTGTAAAATTTATGTGAAACAGAGCGTCATTTGACGAAAGTTTAGGGCAGCAGAAATGTTAAACCAAAATTTTTCTTGAAAAGTTTGAATTAGGGTATCTAGATTGATAATTGAAATGCAAAATAGCAATGAAAACAATCTCTTTTATGTTGACTTTGACAGTCATTTATTTTTTTCAAACAATTGCCTTTTCTTGCTTATAATATACTGCTGGAACCAAAAGAGATTATCCAGCACCATCAGTATAGAGCCAGACCAGACTGCACTTCAGAACAGTATGACCACGTTCAAGACTGTTGGCTGACCAATTTCAAAATTTTGTATTGATATCCCCAAAATTAATAATGGATGGTTCCAAAAAATGGAGACAAGACGAGTGCTCTTATAAATATTCAGCAGGCTACTTATACTAAGGTTTAATGATAAACAAATATACATGTATCAAAAGCAGGATTGTACGAAAGACCAGCTA